CCACTCAGAACCAGGGCAACGAGGGGGCCCTGCTCCGACCCAGGACAATGAGAAGGCCCCACTCCGAACCAGGGCAGTGGCTTTCTGAAAACGGCACTCTCTGGGAAACAGCATCCATTCGCTGTAAACCAAGTGAAGCTATGCAATACTCAAAGAAGTTAAAAATCACATTTTTTTCTTTTTTTCTGAGTAGAACTGCCTTCTAGAAAGAGCTCAGATCAATATTCACTGTTCTTTTGTTTCAGTAGTTGTCATTCTGTTCAATTAGATGATCTGAAAAAAAAAATGATGCCAAAAGTCTATGGTTTTTGGCTCTGTGGTTGCAGTACTGGCACCCAATTTGTTATCACTTCCCTATATCGTGACCTTAAGCAATCCTTTCCACACTGACTGAGCTTGGCTGTGTGACTTACTCTGGTCAATGAGATAGTAACATGCAGGACATAGGCACATACTTGACAAGCCCTTGCACAGTGGGCTCCACCTCTCTGGCTGCCACACGATGAAGCCTGGGACAGGATGGGTGACTGCTGGGTGATGCAGTCACCTCTGTTACTGCAGCCAGCAGCCTCTGGCTGCCCAGCCCATCACAGCTAGCTATGGAAAAGTGAGTGAGCCCAGGTGAGACCAGCAGAACAATCACCCAGCGGAGCCCAGCTCAATTGTCTACCCTCAGAAATTATAAGCTAAAGAAAGAGTTGTTAAGGCACTATGTTGTGGGGGTGATTTGTTATGCAGCAAATGCTTATCAATACATGACCGTTTATTATTTAATGGAATGGAGAAAAGAGTAAACCAAAGAACAGCTACTGCATGTTCAATGACACTTCCAACCAGTCATTAGATTTTGTTATTTACAGAAGAATAGAATAAAAAGCACCATAGCTATACTGTAAGAATGTTTCTGAGAAAATATCTTTGTTTTCAGAGAAAAGGGACCAAGTTAACCACTGTGGTGAGGCTCTGAAATCCTCCTCAGCATCCTGAGCTGCATACAGAAGCAACAGCAGCTGTAATGTGTCTCCATCCCTTCCGCTCAGAGCCTGTGGGAGGGCCATTTCTTGATCCAGGTGAGCTCCTTGGATGTCGACCAGAAAGTCTCACTAAAGTGCCTAAGAGGCAGCTCGATTTGTAAACAACTGGCTGTTCCATTGATGTTACTTTAGGAGTGCCTTTTGTGGCCAAGATATAAATGCCAACATGCTCCATCTTACGTTATAGTCAAAAGTCACTAGAAATATTAATACAGAGTAGGCACCGTTATTATGACTAAAGATTCTTATTACTGTATTATTAAAAGAATTATTTCTGATGGGCTTCCACTTTTGCTGCTAGATCAGAGGAGCAGGACTGGGTGGGAAAGTTACCTCCCAAGAAGTATACTATACTACTTGTCAGAGCCTTGGACTACTAAGACAGACAAGTCTGTGTCTGCCTTCACCCACTTCCTAGCTTTTATTTAAAACATTGTCTCTGAGTACATTTCAGACCCTTACAGGGTTCCAAAACCACATCTATTACCTGCTGAAGCCACCGTGTGAAAAATCATTGCAATAAAATGGATTCAGTAATTGATTGACAAAAATGTGGATTCAGATATACTATAAATTTTTTAAAAATTGCATTAAAATATTGGTTGTGTTTATGTGCAAGCTCCATCAGAAGCCCACGTGAGTCTTCAAGAAGGATAAACAATTCTTTTGAATGTAGTCCATTGTGAAGTACCAGGAGGGAGGCTAACTGAGGACTAAGAAGATTTGCTGCTCACCTGCTCTCCTCCCACCTTCTCCCCTCCCACCTGCTCCCCTCCCACCTGCTCCCTGCTCCCCTCCCACCTGCTCCTCTCCCACCTGTTCCCCTCCCACCTGCTCTCCTCCCACCTTCTCTCCTCCCATTGACCTTGGCAGAGTGTAGTTATTCAAGAGAAGTGCATGAATGCAATCGGGGTGGGGAGGAACCCACAAGGGTGAGAAAGAAATGATGGAGACATTCAAATGTCCTTTTCAATCTAGTTGGTTTCAATCAACCATCCCAAGCCTTCTATCACTGGGGCATATTGTGTCCTGGAGGGGATTTTCCAAAAACCCTTAAGAAAGCTGAAAATCCTCTGCCAGCCAGTTTGGCCCCCTGGGGGCTTGGGAACATCTCTGATCCCTTCCTTTCTACCCTCGCATCTCCATTAACGACAAATTTCACCTTTTAGATATTTCTTCACCATTTCTAATGCTGTCCTTATTCTCTCACCTGCCCTTATGACAAGTCCCCCAAAAAAGGCAGGGGGCACATCCGGTTTGGTCCTAGCCCCAGGCTGCCTACCCTCTTGCCTCCATCTCCTCTACATCCTTGTCCCACTCCTGGTCAGAGCAGCTCCTGAAAACACAGATCAAGATCTGACCACAGCCCTTCTGCATGAGACCCTTCCATGGACCTGCATGGTCACGTGCAGGTGCGAAGGCCTCCTCCTGCGATTCCCAGGTCCTCCACATGACATCCTGCTCACTTTGTGTTGTCTTGTGGATTAAATGTTGGTGCATTCTGGCTCTTGGTTACTCTAACAAATCTATTCAGGTTCCCCAGCAACACGGCCTGTGTGGTGGGGCACAGCAGTGACCCTGAAGCAGAGGGGACAGATGCTCTGGGTGGGGCCTGGCTCTCCAGGCTCCAGGCCCACCCCTCCCAGGGCTCCTTCTTGACTCTTTGGTGGGTCCCTTCTGTCTCACACGTATCTCAGTTTGTGACTCTGCATAAATCCAGTCTCCCTTAGGTGGCTGATAAGGTCCTTGCTGATGGGAACCCCCTCCCTCTCCAACCTGTCTCCTCCCCGTCTTTCCCATAGGCCTCCCCGCATTTCTGACCAGTTCCTCTTCCCTGCAGATCTCTGGAGCTGCTGCCTCTGTGCTCCCCAGGTCCTCTTGGACTGGAATTTCTCTGCCAGCTCCCCTCAAGCCTCCTCTTACTCATCCTCAAGATATAGCCGGGGGAGGGCTCCTGCCTGTGTGATGACTTCTGAACCCTGCATTGAGCTCAGGGCCCTAGCCCCTCTTCACAGCTGATGGGGTATTCCGTTCCCTTAACTCCTGGGGCTGCGTTTTTGTGCATTCGCTTCCCTAATTCCACTCCATGCGGGTCGGGCAGTATTTATTTATATTTCACTGTAAGCAAAGCCCTCAGATCTTGCAAAACAGTAGACAGGGGCAGAGGATTCTGAACAGAAGCCAAGCATGCTCCCAACTTTCCACAGCTGCATCATGAGTACCCTCCCTTCACAGGTGTCACCAGAGGGCATTAGGACCTCCGCAGATGCCCAGGCATCACGTCTTGGTCCTCTTCCATGCTACGACTCTCCACTCCCTGCCAGTGGGCTTCCCAGGCTCCACTGGCTGGGGCTGCACCGAAGTTTCCCTCTCCATTGCTGATCCTCCCTCCTGACTAAAGCCGGATCTCTTGGCTCCTGGTTCTCACTGAGGTCTCCAATCCTGATCCTCTGGTCTCCTTGACCTGTCACTCCCTTGCAATTTCTCCGGCCTTTCTATCAAGCGTGGGTCCCATGGTTGTGGGTCTGATTCGGCTCCAAACTTCCCCCCTCTTGCTTTCTCCTGCCTCCTCCACCTTCCAGGCAGAGTACACCTTGCCAAGAGAGCCTCACCTGCTAAAGATGGTCCCACACGGCTGGAGAAAGTCACAGAGCCCTGGGTCTGACCAGATCTTCACACGAACTCATACTGCAACTGGGCAGTTTCTCCAGAAGTCTTTTCTAGAATGGGCACTTCTCCCAGTTCACTGCTCTAGACTGTCTGCAATCTCCCCACACCCCAACACACCCCAAGAGCTTCTCTGGCTGTGCTGATACTCAGCCAACACGAACCCCTCCTTTCCTTCCTCTTCAACCCAGAGCGCTTGAAAGTTTCCCTTACCCCACCCTTCTCTTCTCTCCCAGGCCAGCACGTGGACTTCTTCTGAGAGGCCATCTCTCACACATACATGCTTGGAGTACAGCTCCTGCCTCCCCAAGACCACTCCCCAGCCGCCGGCCGCGATCCTCAATTTTCCATTCTGAACATTTCCTCTCTACTTACAAAAATGTTCTCACCTACCTTAGAGAAAAACAGACATCCCTTTCCCCTTTGGCCACACACTGCCTCTGAAGGTCGGACCTGTTCGGCGGTTTCCTCCCCCACCAAACTGACGGAAAGCCTGGCCCAAGTCTCCCTGACATCGCGTCCTGGGAAAACATCCCTGGCCTCACTGCAGCGGAAAGTCTTGGAGCGCATGGGCAGCAAACCGCTAGTCCATGGCCTGCAGCAGCTGCTCTCACCCTGTCACCCAGTGCTGCCCTAGGGGGCCAGTGTGCCACATACCCAGCAACCACTGTGCCTACCATGCTATATCCAATGTGCAATGTGCACATCTCTGTGCATGTAATTCAAATGCTGTCACCTGCCCTCCAGTCCTCTAAAAAAGTCAGCTTATCTTCCCTTTAGGCTATCAGTACCTACACTTTCTTCCAGCGTGGTTCAGCTCTATCAACAATCTCTCAGTAGTAACTGTGGAATGCAAAGTCAAGGAACCACAGGTGACAGCAGAAACACCTCCCAAAGTGTCCCCCATCCAATACATTTCCAGCCTCATGTGGCTCTGGGATCAAGCATTCCTCCCTCCTCTTGTCAATGACCTCTCTGTCTCATGGGATGAGGGACAGCAGGGAAAACTGATGAACCCACCAGCACTGCCTTCTGCAGCCCCATCTGACAGCCATTACCTGGGGTCATCTCATACCAGAATCACTGGCTTTCTGTTAATCTAAGTCTTTCCTCTCCTTCTATCTTCCACAAGCATTCAAGAGTGAAGGGCACCAAGACTGCCTTTGGTTTCTGCATTTTTGCACACTAGTTTCATTCCCTAATTTCTGGGCTACAGTGTATAGGCATTCATGGCTCCTGCCCACCCTAGAATCCCCATCACACATTCCTAGACGGCCTCTGACAAACACATCCTCTAACCTCCAGCTCCTGGAACTCCTCCTCCTCCTCCACATCGTAGGACAGGGTATGGATTTTTATGTCATCAGCTGAGAGGTCGATGAACTTCCCATCGGGGTACTCGAGGCTGTCTTTGGTGGGCGATCGGTCCTCGATGAAGGTGGTCTCGCAGCAGTCGGTGGTCACACCGTCCCCCCAGGAACGCAGCACACCCTCTGAATAGAGGATGATGTTGGGCCTGTAGCGGGACTCCACCGACTGCTGCAGGGTGTTGGGGTCCAGCAGCTGCTGCACCGGCTCACTCCTGCTGCTGTCCAGGCTGGCCGGCACTGTGCTGGCCCCCACCCGGTGGCTCTGGTACTGGGGCGCTGGGTAAACAGACACCAGACCATCTCTGCTCTCGGCCATCAAGTTTCTGGTGTTAATTAAGCCATTCCTCTTGCCAGCATCACTGATTTTACTATGCACCAGCATGCTCTTCTGTTCAATGATGCCATCCATGGTCCTCTCTCTCTGGCTAGGCGTCAGGCTGGTGGGCTGGGCACGTAGGTCACACTTGTCTCAGGGAACCCATTTCTCCTGGAGGAGGAGAAAACAGAGATGAGACAAGAGAATCACACTTAAAAACAAGCTAATCACCCAGACCCACATTGTTTCAGACTGTACCAATCAGCTGATAAACGCATAGTAACTATGAGAGTTAGACAAAATGCAGTCCTACCTATTCAGTGAATGTTAAAAAGGATCTGTCGGGGTGGCTAGCCAGAGGTAGCAGAAACTGATTACCTGAATCTCTATAAAGTCTCTGCTTCCAAATGAAGGAGACTGCAGGAGCTGGCTCCCTTGCAGCCTAGAGGAACCTTTGATTGCTAGCAGACATCCTGAAACCCACGGGTAAACCCAATCACATTAGCATCCGACAAGTCCATAGGAAAACAGAACTGCAAATCTGTAATGGGGATTAGCTCTTCCCAGGTACATGGCTATTCATTCAAGCAGGAAATTATGTGATTGCAATAATCCCTACTTAGTGATGATCTTGAGGCGTCAAGTCCCAAACACGAATCTGCTACTGAGGCATCTTGAGATAGGCACAGCTTGGTCTCTTAGGGTGCTCTCTACAGTTTGCCACTCAGAATTTGCTGAGAACCGGCAGCATCAGCACCAGCTGGGAGCTTGTTGGAAATGCAGAATCTTGAGTAGCACCTGCATCTACTAAATCAGAATCTGCATTTTAACATGATCCTAGCTGATGAGTCTGCACATTAAAGCTGAGGAGGTGCTGGGCTACAGTGTATAGTGCAAGTTTTGGCCTGCTGAACAAGTTGGCTTGATTTTACAACCGATTATTTACTAAATTTTAAAATGTACTCAAATTGCATCAAACTGTTTTTTACAGAACAACTTTTTTTATATTGAAGTGAATTTTTTTCAACTTTGAGTATCATAAATTATGATACGTATGAATGAAAGGGATCAAAATTAGTGAAATTTTATTTTTGTCATTGCCGCATCCTTCGATATCTCTTTCAACACAGGCTCGTTTGTCATATATATTGTGTTTGCTTCATAATTCCCATTAACTCATTTCCTTCCATGTTTGCTGGTACCCACTCCCACCTGCTTAGAGCGTTTCCCTGGGCCTCAGTTCATCCACTCAGAGATGAAACTGGGTTGATGGGAGGAGAGAGAATGCCTCTGATGAGGCTGCCATCTGGGGTTATCCACATGGCTCTGCACCAATGCACTCTGGAGTCTTGCCCCAGAACGGTGCTACTGTTCCTCCAATTCCCTTTATAACTTTTGTGGGATTTTTTAAAAAAATTTTCTCAGTTGATGATATTCAGAACCAGTAGCTACAGAGATGAAAGCCTCCTGCCTGGCCCTTTATTTCTGCATAAGCAGTCTCTGCTCTGTCTAAGATGCTCCCTTCTCTTGACCAAATGCTTTCTGGGCTGCACCAACCACTGAGTTCCCCGTGTCATCTTCTTATAAGACTTGGAGTCTGGTTTTGAGCTTAGCAGAGCTTTAAATGCATCACTGGCCAATCATGCCCCACCTGCTTCTTTATCGAGGAAGGCAGCTAGAGGAGAAGACAAGATGAAGAGGGGCCTCTGTGGCCTTGCATTTGAGTTCCTAGTTCTTAGTCTCTTTATCACCATTGTAAGAACTCTCCTGGGGAGTTACTAACATGCACACCTAACCATGAGTTGGGGTGAATATCAGGTGAATGGGAAAATTGAGGCATTGTGAAAGGAAAATAAAAGTCAGAAAGCAGGTATGCAACATATTCTATACAAATTTTATGATACATATATATATATATATATATATTTTTTTTTTACTTGGAGACTGTCACAGTATAAAGAACACTTTACTAAGAGTCAGGAGGCCAGGGATTCAGCCCTAGTTTTGCTACTAAATATCTGACTGTGGGCAAGTGGCTTATGAAAGTGGAATTATTAATGGGGTGCTTGAGCAAGAAAAGCTTTCAGGTCCCTTTCAGCTCTATGATTTTTTACGTCTTAGTCCAAGAGTTCTGGGGTTTTATGGCAATAGATAAGAGATTTTTCACAAAATGGCTTCGGTGGTGAATTGCAGCAAACACTTAAAGAACTAATACCAGTTCTTCTCAAACTTTTCCAAAAAAACTGAAAAGGAGAGAACACTTCCTAAATCATTCCATGAGGTAAGCATTACCAATACCAAAGCCAGACAAGACACCAGAGGAACATTACAGACTCATATCCCTTATGAACACTGATGTAAAACGCCCAACAAAAATACTACTAAACTGAATTAAGTGGCATATTAAAGGAATCATATACCATGATCAAGTGAGATTTATTTCTGGAATGCAAGGAGGGTTAAAATTATGAAAATCAATCACTGTAATACGCCACATTAACAGAACGGAAGACAAAGATATACGATTATCTCAACTGACATAGAAAAAGAATTTAATGCTTTTCTACTAAGCATTTCTGGAAAAGCATTGATGCTTTTCTCTTTCATGATAAAAACATGAAACAAACTAGGAATAGAAAGAAATTACCTCAACAAAATAAAAGCTATATTTGAAGAAATCCACAGTGAACATCATACTCAATGGTGAAAGCACCCATAAGATCAAGAACAAGGCAAAGATGCTCACTTTTCCCACTTTTATTGAACACTGTACTAAAAGTTGTAGCCAGAGAAATTAGGCAAGAACAAAAAATAAAAGGCACCTAATTGGAAAGGAAGAAGTATGATCTCATATATAGAAAACCCTAAAGATTCCACAAAAAATCTGTTAGAACTAATAAATGAAGTGAGCAAAGTAGCAGGATAAATGTTAATACACAAAAATCAGCTGCATTTCTATAAACTAACAATGAAGAATCTGAAAAGAAATTTTAAAAAATCATTTACAATGGCATCAAAAAGAACACAATACTTCAGAATTAATTGAACCAATGAGGTGAAAGACTGGTACAATGAAGTCATCAAAACATTGCCGAGGCAGGGGGTGGTGGGTCATGCCTCTAATCCCAGCTCTTTGGGAGGCTGAAGTGGGCAGATCACTCGAGATCAGGATTTCGAAACCAGCCTGGCCAACATCATGGTGAAACCCTATCTCTACTAAAAATACAAAAATTAGACTGATGAGGCTGAGGCAGAAGAATTTCTTGAACACAGGAGGCAGAGGTTGCAGTGAGCTGAGATCATGCCACTGCACTCCAGCCTGGGTGACAGAGCAAGACTCCATCTCAAAAAAAAAAAAAAAAAAAAACTGCTGAAAGAAATTAAGGAAGACATGAATAAATGGGAAGAGATTCCATATTCATGCATTGGGAACCTTGATATTGCTAGGATGTCAATACTACCCAAAGTTATCGATAGATTCAGTGTGATCAGTAGCAAAATCCCAACAATGTTGTCTGCAGAAACAGAAAAACCCATTCTAACATTCACATGGAATCTCAAGGAGCACAGGCTGGACTTAGAACAAAGTAGGAGTACTCACACCTCCTGATTTTAAGACTTACTACAATGGCACTAGAATCAAAACAGTGTGATATGGCATAAATACACATATATGGACCAAGTGAATAAAATAGAGAGCCCAGAAATAAACACTTGCTTATATAATCAAATGATTTTTGACAAGGGTGCCAACACCATTCAATAGGGAAAGGACATTTTTATCAACAAATGGTGCTAAAAAATTGGATATCTACAGGCAAAAGAATGAAGTTGAACCCTTACCTAATACCATATTCAAAAACCAATCCCAAATAAATCAGTCACCTAAATGTAAAATCTAAAACCATAAAACTCTTAGAAGAAAACAGGGCAAAAGCTTCATGACATTGGACTTGTCAGTGATCTCCTGGACGTGACACCAAAAGCAGAGGCAACAAAAGAAAAAACAAGTTGGACTTCATAAAAATTTAGAAATTTTTGTGCATCAATAGACAATATCAACAGAGTAAGAAAGTAAGCCACAGAATGGGAGAAAACACTTGCAAATCATGTATCTAATAAGGAATTAATACCCAGGATATACAGAGAATGGCTAAAACTCAACAACAGCAAAATCTGATTCAAAAATTGGCAAAGGACTTAAATAGACATTTCTCCAAAGACGATATACAGATGGCCAATAAGCCCATGAAAAGATGCTCAACATCACTAATAATGGGAAATGAAAATCAAAACTGCATATGAGAGATGACCTCATACTCGCTGGGATGGCTACTGTTTTTTTAAAAAAACAGAAAATAACAAGTGTTGGTGAGGATGTGAAAAAACTGGAATCCTTGTGCACTGCTGGTGGGAATGAAAAATGGTTCAGTCGCTTTGGAAAACAGTATGGCAGTTCCTCAAATAATGAAAAATAGAATTACCATATGGTCCAGAAATTCCACTTCTGGATATATACCAAATGGAGTTGAAAACAGGGTCTTGAAGAGATATTTGCATGCCATGTTCATAGCAGTATTATTCATAATAGTTGAAATGTGAAAGCATCCCAAGTGTCTGCGGATGAATGGATAAGCAAAATGTGCTATCTACATTCAATGGAGTATTGCTCAGCCTTAAAAAGGGAAGGGAATTCTGATATAGGCCACAGCATGGATGGACCTTGAGGACATTATTCTAAGCGAAATAAGCTACTCACATAAAGACATATGCTGTAGGATTCCATCAATATGAGGTACTTAGAGCCATCAAAAGTACTCAAAAGTCACCAAAAGTGTGGTTTCCAGGGGATGGGAGTGGTGTGAGGAGTTATTATTTAATAGGTGTGGAAAGAAAAGGGATATAGAGATAGACGGTGGTGATGCTTACACATTATAAGTGTACTTAATACCACCAAACTGTACACTTAAAAATTGTTAAGTTGGTAAATTTTATGCTAACATAATAAAAATTAGAAAAACTCAATTAAACTGAACTAAAATCAAACATATAAAGAAGAGCTATCTATGTGGAGATTCATGCTAAAGTATTTAAAGATGAAATAAAAGATGCACAGTCTGGGACTTTTTAAAAATCATCTGGATTGGAAGGAGAAGTGCACACCATACCAAGAAAACAAGACTGTGGGCTGACCACTGATCATCTCAGTTGGAATTCTCATCTGAAATTCAGTGACAGTAGAAAGTCAAGGAACCACAAGTGACGGCAAAAACACCTTCCAAAGTGTCCCCCTCAAGTACATTTCCAGCCTCATGTGGCTCTAGGATCACGCATCCCTCTTTTATCTTGCCAATGACCTCTCTGTCTCATGGGATGCGGGACAGCAGGGATCCCCGATGAACCCACCAGCACTGCCATCTGGAGCCCCATCTGACAGCCATTACCTCGGGTCATCTCTGACCATCTTTGATCACTGAAGGAGGAGTGTATACCATACTGAGAAAACAAGACTGGCAGCAGGAGTGATGAATGAAGGTATGTTGTATACCATACAGGGAAAACAAGACTGGCTGTGGGCTGACCACTGAAGGAGGAGTGTATATCATACAGGGAAAACAAGACTGGCTGTGGGCTGACCACTGAAGGAGGAGTATATACCCTGTCTCTTATACACATCTAGATGTGTATAAGAGACAAG